CCGGGGAGGGTGGGGTTTGTGGAGGGGAGGGACTTCGGTGGGTTATAACGCCATAGAGTCCAACTTCCACAGCATCCATTTTCTCCAGGGGAACCGATCTGCGTCGCCTTGAGATCAGTTGTCATTCTGGGGGATCTCCAGCCACCACCTGGAAACTGGCAAGAACAGTAAAGATTTCCAGGGCTTTCCCACCCCTGTGGCTGAAGGTGGTGCCCTCCTTGAAGACGGTTCTGCTGGGTAGCCCTGCCGGTTTGCAGTCAGGGTAGCCAGCCCACCACCAACCCTGGCAGGCCAGAGGTAGGGCTGCCAGTTCTGGATTGGGAAATACCTGGATATTTGGGGGGGGTGGAGCCTGAGGAGGGCGGGGTTTGGGGAGGGGAGGGGCTTCAGTGGGATATCATGCCACAGAGTTCTACCTTCCAAAGCTAGGGAGCCAACCTCCAGGTGGTGGCTGGAGACCTCCCGCTATTACAACTGATCTCCAAGCAACGCAGACCCGTCCACCTGGAGAAAATGCCCACTTTGGAAGGTGGACTGGTTGGCATTTTACCCCACTGAAGCCCCCCCCCTCCCCAAGCCCCACCCCCTCAGGCTCCTCCCCCAAAATCTCCAGGTATCCCCCAACCCAGAGCTGGCAACCCTATTCAAATCAGCCATTTTATCCAGGTGAACTGAACTTTGTTGCCCGTGGATCAGTTGTACTCCCAGGAGATCTACAGCCACTGCCTAGAGGTCAGCTACCCTAGCTAGTCATCTGCCTCAATATCCTGCACTTCAGGTGTCTGTGTTTTCTTTCCACCACCGTAGCTCTTAAAGAACATGACCTCTGCTTGCAAATCATTATTCGTAGCCACCCTGGTTTGTTCCTGGTCCGCGGCAGTTTCTTTTACGGCTCCAAACCCCTTCCTCTCCTTCCACTCGGCGACAAGGAAGCCACGCTCTCCTTGTCGTGCCCCTATCACTCACCCGGGCTGATCCGAGGCAGGCCCGAACGCAGAGCACGGCCGCACACTCCCGGCAGGTCCTCACAGGCCCACCATGAACTCATGGCCCAGACACACGGAGGCCTCGCCAGATCCTTCGGAGGCCCCTCCCGACATCAGCTGCTGTGGAAAAACGCCGCTGTCTCTAGGCGGTGTTCATACCGTCAGGAACGTTTCCCTCCATGGAGGGGGGTGGGTGGGAGTTCATTTGAAGAAGGGAAAGAGAGATTTCTTTCTCGGAAAAGGGGTATCTGTGAGGCAGTGTTGCCAACCTCCAGGTGGGGCCTGGAGATCGCCTGCTACTGTCCTCGCTCTCCAGACTACATAGACCAGTTCTACTGGAGAAAATGGCTGCTTTGGAGGGCGGGCTCCATGACCTTATACTCTGGTGAGGCCCCTCCCCTCCCCAAACCCCGCCCTCTCAAGGCTCCACCCCCCAAAATCTCCAGATATTTCCTAACCCGGAGCTGGTAACCCTACTGTGAGGGACCTGTAAACAGAGAGTGGCCCAGGTTTATTTCATTTTCCTGCTCTTGAACCTACAGTGGTTCCAAAATGGATTCTGAGGGAAAGCGACTTTCTCCAGAAAGACTGTATGGTATTTTCATCTTCAGTTGCCGACTCTGGGTAGGGTTGCCACCCTCCAGGTGGGACCTGGAGATCTCCCGCTTTCACAACTGATCTCCGGCTGACAGAGATCTCCTCCCCTGGAGAAAATGGCTGCTTTAAAGGGTGGACTCTAGGGCATTGTCCCATGCTGAGGTCCCTCCCCAAACCCCGCCCTCTCCTGGATCCACCCCCAAAGTCTCCAGGTATTTTCCAACCCAGACTTGGCAACCTTAACTCTGGGTTGAGAAACTCCTGGAGATTTGGGGACAGAGCTGGGAGTGTGGGGAGCTCAGCAGGACATAATGCCATAGAATCCATCCTCCCCCCAAAAGCAGCCATTTTCTCCATGGGAACTGATCTTAGTTGTCTCGAGATCTATTGTAATAGTGGGAGATCTCCAGGTGCCACCTGGAACTTGGCAACCCTATGAAAGGTAAACGCAATCACTTGGAAGTTGCTTCAGATCAACTGGTTGCCTGAGGCACAGGAGCCAGGCCCAGGACCCAAAAAAAAAAAAGTTGGCAACCTTCCTTCTGCAAGAATGAGCAGGTGTGCTGTAATTGCTGACCTGTAGGCCATTCATTTTTTTCGCCTGCGCCTCTTCCCACATAAATCTCCCTTGATGCTCCCCGTACATGGTTAGAGGGAAGCTTTGTTCCAAGAAGGAACATTCTTATGTACAGGGAAGGAAACCGGATTAAGCGAAATCCACAAATGCTTGCCTTCGGGGCAGTCTTGGGCAAGTCCAGGAATCTTGCCTCCCAGCCGCCGTCCGTGCTCTAACTTGCCGGGTCCCGTTCCCAGTCCACTCCGAAGTCCAGACTCCCAGACTCCTCGCCCACTGGGCTCCGCTCCTTCTGTCAGCACAGCTGCCTCTGAGGCAGGACGGGGCGTGCCAGGCACGGGGCGAGGCAGGCCTGTAGTGTAGGCCCAGCCCAGGCCTGCCAGCTTCTCTCCTGTCAGGGATCTTCCCTCCCTCAGGCAGGTTCGGGTGGGGAAGGCTCTGGAATGCGGCTTGACTGCTTCTCGGGGCGTGGGGGGAGCCAGCCCTGACACGCGCCCCCAGCCACTTGGCGCGTGGCTCCCCTCACGCCAGGACTGGGTCGGGCCGCTGCCTTTAACCGGTGAGGTGCTGCATGCTTCCAGTAGAGACTGGGCTTTTTTTTCCCTGGGGGAATGTGCCAGAGCAGAGTTCCGGACCCTCTTTGACAAAATTCTTTTAGAAAGGTTTAAAAGTTTGTGAGTTTCCAGTACGCAGATTGAAAACTTCCTTTCCCTCTTCCGTGTTCTGGCACTTCTTTTCTTCCCTTTTCTTTTAAAAAGCCCTGATGAGAGTCATGCACACCCTTACTCCCTGACGTTCTGTGGCTGGCTCCACCTCCCGCAGCAGCCATTTTGTGTTTCTGCAGAACAATACCCTGTTCCAGAATTCCAAAGATGCTGGGTCCTCCCATGATTCCTTGGGGTTCGCAGCTAAAGATCCCCCAGGGATGTATGCCAAAGGATCCCATGCCAGAGGATCTAAACCAGAGGACTGTAGGATTTAAACTGACGCCGCCCCCCAAAAAAATCTGTTCTCGGACTACAGTTTTTGTTTTTCAGAACAGCCGACACAGTGGCTAAAAAACTGGGGCCCCAGTTTATTGATTTAATTCGTTTGTATCTCACCTTTATCCCTATGGGGGTACCAATGCTAGCCTCCCTTACAGGACTGTTGTAAAGAAGAAGAGGAGATTGGATTTATACCCCACCCTTCATTACCCGAAGGAGTCTCAGAGCAGCTTACTATCCCCTTCCCTTCTCCTCCCCACAACAGACACCCTGTGAGGTAGGTGGGGCTGAGAGAGCTTCTTTCGAGAACTGTCCTTGAGAGAACAGCTCTTAGAGAACTTGTGACTGGCCCAGGGTCACACCATCAGCTGCATGTGGAGGAGTGGGGAATCAAACCCAATTCTCCCAGATTAGAGTCCGCGCTCTTAACCACTACACCAAGATTCCAAGATAATGTACAAATGATGTGTGTGGGGGGTTTTTGGCCAAACTCTGTTATTCACACTTAAGGTCCCCCAAATATTTTGTCCCTTAAGCTTCCTAAGAACAGTCAGTCAATTTCTGTCCTCACCTGCAAACTGTCACCTGAACAGTCGCCCCTCCCAAGCCATTCCCACAGGCTCACATCAACTCCTTCGCCCAGGATTCAAAAGCATCCAAACTTTATTGTGATTTATTTATTAATTTTATTGGATTTATAACCAATCTTCCCTCTAAGCAGTGGAGTCTTGTGAGCAAAAGTTCTACTTTGTGAGCTCCTGGCATTAAAGTTGTGAGCGAGCCATTTGGCTCCTGCATAAATTCGTTTGCTCTGGACCCATCCTTTCTGAGCGAAGACGAAAATGTGTGAGCCGGAGGCTAAGAAACTGTGAGCTAGCTCACACTAACTCAGCTTAGAGGGAACACTGTTTATAACCCACTCTCCCCAGAACCGGCTCAGAGCGGGTAGCATCAGTTTATAAACATACACCATTCTAAAGTCATTAAAATACAATAAATATACTAAAGACGACAAGAATTGCAATAAGTACAGTAAGATCCATAAAATACATCCACTATACAGCTAAAAGGTGGCATAGATTCCTATGGAGGGGCAAAATAGACCCCTGATCCATGAATATCTCCCCATTATATTGAGTCTCATGTCTCTTCAGAAATTTCCACAAGTGCCATGACAACCCTTGTCACAGAACCTTTCCGATTTCAGTTTGGCAATCCGCTTATCGCTCCCCTCTGCATTACATGCTGCTTTCGCTTCCTTTGATCATCGGATCTTCTGGTAGCCTCCACACTCCAGGCCGCTTTCGCTTCCTTTGATCACCGGGTTTTATGGTACCTTCTGCATAGATTTATGGCTGTTCTGTGGCTGTTCGGGGTGACTTTGCAGTCGGTATGGTGTTGCATGTGGTTTTGAGCTGCACTTTTTCCTCCCAGTCGAGAAAATGTGGAGCGAATGCCAGATGCAGAATCACCCAAGGGAATCGGAGAATCTCCCCAGATTGAGTGCGAATTCTTCATCCGCTCCCTTTCCCCTTCCACACACACATCGCCTCTCTGAGATATCCCTTTCCACCGATAGCATCTCCCCTTCCCTTTTGCCATCGGCTCAGCACTTGCTCCATGGGGGGGGCACCGCGCCCTCCTCCTCCCCAAGGGTGTGACAGCTGTGCGTGCAGGCTCAGACACCTGCCCTGGAGGGGGGGGGGTTAACAGGAGGATAGAGGAGGGTGTCAGGCCTGTTGAGACTGGCCAATTAGAAACCCCACCCCTGCAGGAACGACCTCAAAAGCTCACGAAGGGATGCTGCGTGCCAGAGAATTAAACCTCGCAAGGGACAGTCTATCAGGACCAGGGAGTTTGCCTTCCCCTACTGTCTCGGGAAGGATTTTGGGGTGCCCCCCCAGAGCACACGGACACACCCCCCCCACAAGAGCAAGGGAGAGAGTTCCAAGCCTCCCCACTTCCAGATTCTGGGTGCCTGCTGGGTATCCTAAAACTGGCAGCAAATTTAATCTTTCTTCCAAGCAGACGGTAGTGTCAGCTGCGCCCCTCCTGTTTGGACCTCCCGGCAGAGATGGCCTTGGCGGATTTCCACTACACGACTGGCATAAGCAGCGGATTCAAGGTCTACATCTTGGAAGGTGAGTCCTAGCTGTCCGGGTCTTCCAGTGCCAAGGCAGGCTAAGGCAGCTTGCCGGATGCCAGAACCTGTCCGAGGGACGCCAGCAGCAGTGTCTTCCACGGGTTGCTAGGGCCGCACGCTCATGGTCTGATCCAGGGGCCGCCAGAATTTCTGGGCCCTGTCCCCTCCTTTGGGAGCTGGAGAGCAGTAGGGGGGTGGCGTTAAAGCAAGCCCGTCTGTTTTGTAATAACTTTTTATGGAAGTGAAATCTAGCGTGACGGTGCTCCAGACGGGTAACAAAACGGCCAAGGTTGTACGGCTTAAAATACGGCAAAAAACCTTAACCACGAAACAGTAAAACTGAAATGACAAACACAGTCAGTTAGGATTGCTATTCTATTGCTACTATTGAACTAAAAACAGTCCCCGGAGCAATATCAGTATAACCTCTGCTTTTAAATGTCGAGCGAGCCTGTTTGTTTGAATCTGGGCGTGCGCCTGGAGAGACTGGAGCCGCTCTGGAAAAGCCGGTTTGAACCGTTTGCAACGGCAGCTGTTGCCGCTCCTGCCACAGAACACCTACCTGGAGTGCTTAGCAACAGCCCCAGGGCATGAAAAGCAAGTGCGGATCCTGCTGTGCGCAGAGAGGCGACACCCTGCCTACCCACCAGGGTTGGGCTCCCATCTCGGCTTCCCCCATAACTTCAGGGGGGGCAGCCGTCTTGGTCTGAAGCAACCGGACAAAGTCTGAGTCCAGTGTAGTGTTCCCTCTAAGCTGATTTACCGTGAGCCAGCTCAAAAATTTTTAGCCTCCGGCTCACACATTTTTGTCTTTGCCTCGGAAGGAGGGCTCCAGAGCAAACTAATTTATGCAGCAGCCAAATCGCCCGCTCACAACTTTGACGCTGGTAGCTCACCAAGCAGAATTTTTGCTCACAAGACTCCACAGCTTAGAGGGAGCATTGGTCCAGGGGCGCCTTTAAGACCAACAAAGTTTTAGTCTGGGTATAAGCTTTCGTATGCAGGCACACTTCTTCAGATACCATAGCCTAGTTTGCAGCCCCCTGCTTGTTCTAGCCCCCCACCCCACCCCCAAGCTGTGCCTTCCACCCGTAGTGGTAAGTTTTGGAGTGGAAACCAGTTTGGAGAAGAGCAAATTCTAACACATGTGGTCCTGAGGTATTCTGATTTTATTCATTTCCTTTGCTTCCTTTGACCCCTGCCCAGTAGGGACCCAAAGCAGTTTACGTCATGCCCCGCTCCTGGGAGCCAGTTTGGTGTAGTGGTTAGGAGCACAGACTCTAATCTGGGAGAACAGGGTTTGACTCCCCACTCCTCTACATGCAGCTGCTGGCGTGACCCTGCGTCAGTCACAATTCTCTCAGAGTAGTTCTCTCAGGAGCAGTTCTCAAAAGAGCTCTCTCAGCCCCACCTACCTCACAGAGTATCTGTTGTGGGGAGGGGAAGAGAAAGGAGATTGTAAGCCACTCTGAGACTCCTTCGGGTAGTGAAGGGCAGGGTATGAATCCAATCTCTTCTTCTTCTAATCTGGGAGAGCTGGGTTTGAGTCCTCACTCCTCCACATGCAGCTGTTGGTGTGACCTTGGGTCAGTCATAAGTTCTCTCAGAGCTGTACTCTCAAGGGCAGTTCTCAAAAGAGCTCTCTCAGCCCCACCTACCTCACAGGGTGTCTGTTGTGGGGAGTGGAAGGGAAAGGAGATTGTAAACTGCTCTGAGACTCTTTCAGGTAGTGAAGGGTGGGGTATAAATCCAATCTCTTCTTCTTCATTTTGGCCTCACGACACCCCCGTGAGGTAGGTTAGTGTGGGACTGGCCCGAGGTCACCCAGGAAGCTTCCACGGTAGAGTGGGGATTCGAACCTGGGCCTCCCAGATCCTGTTCTAACTCTAAGCACGATGCCATGCTGGTTCTGAGGCAGCCAAATTTGAATCTGAGTGCGGTATCTTTTTAATTTGACCTTCTGAAGCTAGATTTTCATCTGTCAGCATCTACAAATATAGACGCCTTTAGGATTGCGCCAATTAGTCCTCGCTATCTTCTCCCTCTTTTGTTTCCCCCGCTGTTGTAATTTGGACTGCAAGTTCCTCGGTGACTCATCCGTTTCTTCTGCCCTTCATTCTAAGGCGCTCGAAGCAGCCGACGGTTGTTTTTCTCACCTCCATTTTGTCCTCTCTACAACAACAAAGCCAACCTGACATACGGGTTCGAGTGTCATATGGAGATCTGGGAGACGGCAGGTTCGAATCCTCACCCTGCCATGGAAGCTAACCTACCTCACGGCATTGTTGTAGGAATGAAATGGAGAAGAGAATTATTTATTTATTTATTTATTTATTAAATTAGACTTTTTAGGCCGCTCTCCCCTGAAAGACAGGGCTCCGGGAGGCGTAAAGGATTAAAAGGTAAAGGTTTCCCTTGCTCGAAAGCCAGTCAAATCCGACTCTAGGGGGCGGTGCTCATCTCTGTTTCCAAGCTGAAGAGCCAGCGCTGTCCGAAGACTTCTCCATGGTCATGTGGCCATCATGACTAAACGCCGAGGCGCACAGAATGCTGTTACCTTCCCACTGAAGTGGTACCTATTTATCTACTTGCAGTTTCTTGCTTTTGAACAGCTAGGTTGGCAGGATTCCTTCCAACTCTATGATTCTGTGAACATCTGTGCCCTGTGGGATTTGCTACCGAGTGGCGTACAACACGATAAAATCCCAATAGAACTCACAAACCACAACTAAAAATTTCCAGAACTAAAACTTAAAAGACTGACAAAAACCATTTAACATGGTCTGATCCATCTGATGGCAAAATATATATATATAAATATATATGGGGTGACAGAAAACAACTGTGCACCACCCTCTATATGACCGCCCTTCAAGTACTTGAAGACGGTTATCATATCACCAACGCTCGCTCTAAGCTGTGGAGTCTTGTGAGCAAAAATTCTATTCTGTGAGCTACTGGCATTAAAGTTGTGAGCCAGCGATTTGGCTACTGCATAAATTAGTTTGCTCCATCCCTACCTGAGCTAAGACAAAAATGTGTGAGCTGGAGGCTAAAGAACTGTGAGCTAGCTCACACTGCATATCACCTCTCAGTCGTCTCCTCTCCAGGCTAAACACACCCAGCTTCTTCAGCCTTTCTTCACAGGACTTGGTCTCCAGATGTTATCTGGCAGAGAGTCCCTCCAGGTAGGAGCCAGGGCAGAAAATGCAGGAAGAACATAAGAACATAAGAGGAGCCAATGTTGGGTCAGGCCAATGGCCCATCCAGTCCAACACTCTGTATCACACAGTGGCCAAAAATACCAGGTGCCATCAGGAGGTCCACCAGTGGGGCCAGGACACTAGAAGCCCTCCCACTGTTGCCCCCCACCCCAAGCACCAAGAAGACAGAGCATCACTTGCCCCATAGCCCCTATCTATACCTTGTGGCTAATAGCCACTGATGGACCTCTGCTCCATATGCTTATCTAATTCCCTCTTGAAGCCGTGCATGCTTGTAGCCGCCACCACCTCCTGCGGCAGTGAATTCCACATGTTAATCACTCTTTGGACAAAGAAGTATTTCCTTTTATCTGTTCTAACCCGACTGCTCAGCAATTTCATGGAGTGCCCACGAGTTCTTGAATTGTGAGAAAGGGAGAAAAGTACTTCTTTCTCGACCTGCTCTATCCCATGCAACTTTAGGTCCCTATTGGGGAGAAACGTGGGGTATAACTGAAGTAAGTAAGTGATGATGAAGAAGAAGAAGAAGTAGCAGCAGAAGAAGAAGAAGAGGAGGAGGAGGAGATTGGAGATTGGATTTATACCCCACCCTTCACTACCCAAAGGAGTCTCAGTGTGGCTTACAAACTCCTTTCCCTTCCCCTCCCCACAACAGACACCCTGTGGGGTAGGTGGGGCTGAGAGAGCTCTTGACAGAAACTGCTCTTTTTCAAGAACAGCTGTGCCAAAACTATGGCTTACCTAAGGTCATCCAGCAGGTGTGAGTGGAGGAGTGCGGAATCAAGCCGGGATCTCCCAGATTAGAGTCCGCGCACTTAACCACTACACCAAACTGGCTCTCTGATGATAACTCTGCGAGGATGGTTCAGCTGAATGAGAGTGACCAGCCAAGGTCACCAAGGGAGGCTAGCTGCCTTCAACCGGGAGGGCCAAAAATGTCACCTCCCTTAAACAGAGGCTGAATATGTTTTTCATGGCCTGGAGGCAAATAACGCTGGGTGGTTAATAGTCTCGTATGAGCTTCTATTAACTGGGCAGGATGCTTTTTCTCCAGGTTGCTGGCGTCCCTGTCATCTAGAGAGCTTCGTAGCAGAGTGAGGATTTTAATCTGGATCTCCTTCGTCTGACACGCTAACCTCTACATCAGAATTGCCCCATGACCTTTTAAAATATATATATATATATTGCTCTGTAAAGCATTTACTAGAAGGAAGGTGGCATGGTATAGCCTGATTGCATCAGGTCTCAGAATCTAAGCAGGGTCGGTACCAGGGGTCATTTCCTGCATGAGCGCACAGGA